CTGTTTCTTGCTTTGTCTCTCTCTTTTCCCTTTGCTTGTTTTGTTTCTTAAATTCCACATACGAGTGAAATCATACGGTATCTGTCTTTCTCTGACTGACCTATCAAGTGGCTATTATAATGCATAGGACGGCCTTCCGACCTAAGTACCAAAAGCAGATGAAGGATGTTGTATTCAAAATGACATCCCATATCACTTAAAATAATAAATAGCTTAATTTCTAACCTGGAAGTTCTTAGAGGTCAGTAATTTGGGCCCATACATGCTTGCTGTAGGAAATGTACAACTGATTATGTCTAATGGCCTGATGCAGAAACAAAATGATATTTTCTTCTGTTTGTCTGAAACTCATTACTACTCCCAAATGTAGAACTGTCAGTTAAGCACAGAATTAAGATCCGAGAATTCAGATGGAAGAGGTCTGCACCAAGCTTAGAGGGGAAAATGAATGAATGGAGACTATCCTAGAAAATATTTTCTAAAGGAGAGCAAAAGTATAGAAACCATTCCGATTTGGATTTGGAGAGTTAACAGAGTAAGGCCGAATGTGCTGGGAAGTTTTTGTTTCAAATGCTGCTTAACTCATATAATCATATGTGATACTTCACGATAATTCATGCACTACATATGAGCATATGTAATTACAAGTTTGTTCCTCAGGTATGGCAAGACTCTGATACTGAAAGACTGAAGTCTGTTAAATATTAACTTGGCAACAACCTATTACAGTCTATATCCGTCATAGGTTTAAGCTACAAAAATACTCAATGACTACCCCCATGTATGATCGAACATAGGCAAACGGAAGAGGGTGTACATGGTTGCTAACAACTTCTTGGAAGGAGACAGATGCTTGAAAGTTTCCTATTAAATCCTCGTATCTTCTAGGGGAAGAGTTTTGGGAACAAACTGTCATTTTGTTGAAATGAGACACATAGTCGTTCTCAGTCTGTCCTCTTAACTCTCTTTGGCTTTCTCTGCAAGATGACAAAATGCTAAGATTTTGTCACCTGCTGCTTCTCGGAGCCAAAGACTGCCCTAGACTTATCTTCCACTCTATAGTTTGTCCCGGAAGTTCCCAAGTAACGGAGTGGCCATCTAGATGAAATCACTGCATTGTTGGAGAATGGTTTCTTCTCCGAATACACAAAGACACTCAATGATCATTCATATATAGCTTGGTGCTCGTGAGGTGAAGATATAGGACCGTGTTTCTGCATGAATGCTTGAAGAAAAGCTCTCTTTCATAGCCACCATCCTTCCTTTGTCCTCTTTTGAAACGCTACACTGATCTCAAGGACTAGGCTAAGGAGTTGGAATGGAGGGCAGAGATTCTGCTCACTGATATATCCCAATGCCTGACATAAAGTAGGCACTTGGCAAATAACTGTTGACTAAATGAGCAGGTTAGGTAACTCTTCTTTATGGATGAAGGATGGTTTATTTTAACTCTAGGCTATGTCCGCTAGCTCGGGCTCATCCCAACTATACCTGGAAAAAAAAATCCAATGCCCAGATGAAGTTATTTTATTCAGCACTGTCCTAGGCCTAAATCATCCCTAAGGAATAGTTCTGAGGAAACTTGCGCTGGAAAATAAATGGCCTATTAGGAACCACTTTAAAATTTCTCCCCTTGTGAGCTAAAACTTGGGGAGGCAGCAAAGCTGTCCATTTCTACGGAACCTGTCAGTGTCTTGCCCTGCTGATCTGATGTCAGCCTGAAGACCCCTGGGCCTAAGACTCATCACATTTTCAAAAATACAGAGCGCAGTAAAAATGAGACCTGGTGATTTAAATGGCTGCAGAGAAGGGACTATTTTAGTTCCTGATTTCTGAAGTTCCAACCACGGGAAAAGTGCAGACGGTTTGAGGGTAGGGACACCAATTCTGTGAAGCTCGAGTTCATCTCCAGGCATGTCAACTGGGCCTCCCCTCAAGGTCCCAAGTGGTGAAAGGGAGAGTCAGGACATTTTAGTGAAGGAGACGCAATGGCCTTTTTGGAGACTCAGGATCTGAAGGGATGGGCTAGTAATAATGCATTTTTAAAACTATTCATCATCAAAGTTTCCCTTCCTTTGGGACATTCTGATGTCACAACTGGAAAACAGACCTACTTCCCAACAAGGGACGGCCTCAAACTGACTGACTTGAGTCATAAACTTCTTTTTTGAGGAGTGGGGAGTGGTTACAATTTTAAGGAATAATTCTTGATCCCTAAACTTTCACCATCTCCCCTGACATGGGAGTAGCTGATACTGGGAATTCTTTGGTTCTACAGATACTCTGAAAAAGACAGGAGCATTTGCAAAGCCGGTGGTGGTGGTGGTGGTGGTTGGCTCAGTGAAAACAACAGTTTCTTTTTTATATTGCTTGTTGCTTATCACAGCTCTTTCCATCTTGCCTATTCCCCCTCAAACATCAAGACTGCATGTGTGGAATGAAGTACAGAAGGAGAAAAATGGATGCTATCAATGCTTCAAAATGACCAGGTTGAGAAAGAAAATGGTGTTCCTCTACTTTCCCCCTAAATTTATCTTTTAATGTATTTGTTTCATAGATTTGATCAGGGACTTCCTTAAAGTTATTTAAAAGAATGACAAACATACTATCACCGACTGAAACTCAGAGACCTGTGGTCTCCTTACAGAAGAGATAATGCTGAACTCTATAGGGGAGGGTCAGGTGATGTAGCCAGCAGAAGGACCCCAGCCTGGGACTCCATCTTTCATCCGTCAACAGCTTTTTTTTCCAAATGTATAAAAAGGCCACCTAAGAGCTCTCTCTTTGATCCCCAAAGTGTAATATCATAAGGAATGTAAGTGCCCCTCTGGCCCTCCTGTCATCTCACCCAATCCCAGATAAACTCAGGGCCCCGTGAATCATCTTTGTACTGTAATTAAACATGCACATAGCCACATTCAAGTACAGGCAAACACCAACACACTTATTTTTGTGTTAACACATTTATTTCTTCATGTTGTATACAAAATTCTCACCATAGATTAACTATTGGCAAACGTAAGCTGAGCAGATGAGAAACCATGAGTACACCTGCCCCCTCAGTGGCATGTCTGTATTTTCCATACGTGTCTATTGACAACATTTCTGGGTCTTCCCAACGGTCATTAAGTTTAGGTAAATATACTTTGTAGAAAGAAGCATCTACTTACTGTGCTTCTTCAGAAGACTCTTGTTTTATTTTTAACGTTCTCTTTGTGACAGGTATTTCATCTGAAAAGCAAGGTTTTTGAAACAAATTATATTTTTCTAAAAATCATATTTTTCTAAGTAGCATACATTTAAGTAGAGAAGTAACTGTGTTTATTTACTGTGCATTTCATACTTTCCAATGCAAGGCTATAATTCTAGTGTCAAACACTGTCCAATGTCAGATTTATAAATATAACTCTTATATAATGAGATGCATACATTTATATGCAAGATCAGAAACCAGCTCTACAAGTATAAAATTCTTCAAGGTCACCAGTGGATTTGTAGCTAGGAGCTTAAGGCTTAATTTCACTGCAAACATGATTTTTAAAGGAACGAGAATGAAAAATGATTCTCTTCTATTTAGATATTCTATGTAGGTTTTACAGAGCAATTTTTCCCCCCAATATCACGATCAATATACTCTGCATGTTATTATTTTCTTCCCAAAGGTTTGGGTGGAACATAACTCTCTAGGGCAAAACCCGAATAATGGGATGCCAAAGCAATTTAGACCTTATTACCGTTTAGAAATTAAAAGGCAGTGATCACTTGGCATCAGCCCTTTTTATTCTCCCGATCTTTAAGTCTCTTACATTGCATCAGTCTTATAGTTTTATAGCTTCTTTCTTTTCTCCTTTTCCCTTCCAATATTTGAGAGATTTAAAAAAGAGCATTTATAGGAGATAATTAGCATTTAATCCTTTTTCTTTTGAATTAGCATTTTTCTCCATCATCAGGAATTCTGTAGAGCCGTGCCTATGCGCTTTTATCTTAAGCTAGGATAGCACATTTATAGTGCCAATCCTACTTATACTTCCTTGGAGGTTGCCTCAGTAGCTCACTGGGGAGTCAGAACGTTTACTTAGGAGTGAACACTCATCACATAACTTGCTACTGAAGCACAGCACCTGCACTGGAAACTAGACTCGGACTTCCAAACTACGAAAACCCAAACTAGAGCATTTGTTGCAAAAAGAAACAAAAAAACAACTACCTATATACCCGTTTTAATGAGGTCACCCCAGTTTGGATTTGATGGCCAAGAATTCTGTTTCCCAGTTACTGCGTGGATGGGATCCTTAGTGAATCTGAATTTTAAAGGAGTATGATCACTGCTAAAATTCGAATATCAGCTTTTTTCAACATAAACTGAGGCTTCTATTTTTTGTTTGTTTGTTTGTTGTTGTTCAGACTAAAGTCTGGCTGGGGACCTTTCCCAATTCATAAACAGAAAAGTATTTGGGATAAAGGAAGGAAAAGACCGTCACGTCTAGAGCAGCTGCGCCAAGAGTTAATGTTCTTGGCAGTTGTCTTAGACCTAGACGGTGCGGGATATTTTAAATTGCATAGGATTCCACCTGTCACTGATTAGGAATTCTGGGTCTTCAGGAATTCTCCTCGTAGCCAGATCCAAATGACTCACAGCAAAGCACCAACTCACAGTTTAGGGCTAAAGCAATGATGCCCAGGTTGCCCCAGGGAAGCTGGCCGTGTGCCTTGTGTTAAGCAGCACCAGAGGATGTGACAGGTACTAAGGACAGGTGCACATGTAAAGCTGTACAAACACACACACACACACACACACACACACACGTGAAGTATCACACATACGGGCTTTCTTACCCAATTCCTGATCTGTTGGATAGCCATGGAGATCCTGACTGTGGTTTCCCCAGTCCTCCTGTGGATACTCCTCCATAGCGCTGCCATCTGACCCCAGCTCCTGGTACAAGCCACTACTGTTAATAAGTACAGGCTGGCAGGGCTGAGCATCCCATCCTCCCTGACCAAACACCTGTTCCAACTGTTCAAATGTGTAACTGCTCTTTCTTTTCCCAACACCATGTTCTTTCACCCGACTGTAACACCTGCGAAGGGTCTAAGACACAAAGTCTTTTGTTATTCCTTTAAAGCTGTATTCCTCTTCCAGGTACGGACCACAGATATTAATTACTATTAGACAGACACAGACAGACAAACACAGACACATTGTTACAGGAATGCTAGATTTCAAATTCATTATTATATTAGAAAAAAAAACAAAACTAATTTAGCATTTACGCAAACATGTTATAGTTCAAACAATTATTTTGCAATTGATCATCATCCATTAAACAACAAGAAACATTACAACATTATTGCATGTACCCCATACACATATTTTTATGCCCCCACCCCCCTTTTAAAAAGAATAAGGGGAAGAAAAAAAAAAAGAAAACAAGAAATACCAGCCAGCCAATAGGATGCACACCTGCCACAGAAGAGAAAGAACTGCTCTTGTGCCCAGAATTTGGAAAAAGTGAGGGAAGGGAGGACAGAAAGAAGAATTTCCCAAAGCAAAGAATATAACCTTCCTTACTCCTAAGAAGGAAAACAGGGTAAACACAATTGCCTGAACGAATCAGCTAGGAAAACATACTACTTACAAAAGTCCATAGTCCTTACTAACTGACCCTGTCTTTAGGGAAGTTGCTAAAATTTGAAGGAGGTCAAATCAATTATGCTACAGATCCCCAGTCTCAAACAACAACTATCAAGAAACGATACACGCATTCCTACACCGAAAGATTAGCCAGTACTCATCTATTCGACCAACGCAAACCGCCAGCTACACAAACCAACAAAGGAGGCCAATAATTTCCACTTCTTGGGCGGGGGTGGGGTGGGAAGTGAAGTGGACAGGGTATCATTTCACTTCTTTCTCTGCCTTGTGCCACACAGCAAATAAAAATCACTATGTGAGTCCACAGAGAAAACCTGCATGATTTTATTATCGTGCACAACCCTTCCATTTTGTTCATGGTCTTCTAACGCATACATTAGCCCAGTTTCCTTAACTCTGTCTTACATGGTATTTTAAAGGATAAATCAAGGACTTAGTGCCAGCATCCACATTTAGTTTAGTGCTGTCCAGTGTCTATCCCATCTCTGCTCCCTTTTGTTCCTTCTAACCTCCCTTCTCCTTGACTGGACTTCACCCAGAATTTTCTTGAGAGACAAGACCCTTTTTCCCTGATGGCTCCCAAATACTTTCTAACTCAACTCTGCAAAACCGGTTCACCTCAGACTTAATTTATACGCATTAGCCAGACTGTAGGTTTCTCCTAAATGTGAGATTACTTTCCAGAAGCCAATATATCGCATATTCTCACCAAACTGAAACAACTCCTAATAATCTTTACAGAGCCTCCATGAAGGTTCCATATCTTTAAATCACGGTTGATAAAGGACAAGAAGACACTGTCAAATACTTGGCAGATCTGTCCCTGGAGGCCAGAAATCCAGATGGGCAAAAGGAATAATAAAAGCATGACACATAGGATGATCCTCCTCAGACATAAACAGAGCAGTGATTAATCACCCCGTCCAAAAACCAGCCAGCCTATCCCCTGCGTAAGCACCTGCCTTTCTCCCTTTCTAGAGATCTCTTCTGGTGCTTCCAATGATGCCTTAAAGAACTGAGGTTTCTGATTAATACACTCCTTAAAAAAGTGTTCCCTCTCTTTCTCTTTGTAAAAGACAGTCACAACGACATAACACAAAACTTTCTAGAAAAAAATCAGGCATGAACTTGGGAAATGTGTCACAGGGCAACCCTTCCAATGATAGGAGACAAATGCCTGCAGCAGATCTCATTTGACTTTCTATTTACTCCCCTTTCCCAGTGTCCTCTGCCCTCCTTGCAGGGACTGGAATTTGAGTTGCAAACATCTCCTGCCAATTTATTTTTATCTCACAATGTCTCGTTTCTGCCTCCAAGAACACCCCAACCACTCTTTTCAAGTCCTCCAAGGACCGTACATGGAGAGTCCCAGCCATGTCCCTTTTACCCTTCCAAGGCCATAAATGGAGATACGGCTGCTCACCACTTACTGGCTGCCTAGAGAAAAGCACGCAGCACACAAAAGAGCCCAGTCGGATCTGTCACTGAGGGGTCTTTCAGAAGTCAAGGAATAAAACTGATGCTCCTTTGAAGAAAGGTGCCACCCTTATCAGGATGTGATATGGGCATAAAGCAAAGCCACCAGTCTTTGACAATATACATGGTGGGAAACCACAGAAAAGATTTACTTTCTTTGAAACCACCAAATTGAGCTTAAAATTTTCCTTGGCTTATAATTGTGAATAAGGAAACCAGCAATATCTAATGATTTTAGATACAGAACAGTCAGAGGATACATTCTATATTTCATCAAAAAAGACTAAGAGATCTTGCCATCTCTTTCTTCGTAGTGTACTTTTGTAATACACTTTAATAGTGTAATGTGCTGATACGTGAAATATCTATCTGGGGCCTGCAGGAAAAATGTTTGGTAATTCCTAAATCCATACGATAATAGGAATTTGGTATGTTGAAATAATGTTCAAAAGATTTCCAGATTGACTTTAGCTCTCTCAAGACGTAAGTACACATAAGAGATACCTTCTGGGTTCAGTAAAAGATCCACAGATCCAAGGACAGGCTGTTTGAATAGGGACACATCAACTAAGATAGAAAAAAAAAAAAAAAAGTGAGAACTCAAACATGAACTTGACCACCACTACAGGAGACAATGGAATTCAGTGGAACTGCAGGGACTTTAGAAAGCGATAAAAGGAACATATGGAGACCTTCCAATCAGAAAAAGTTGCACTTCCCACACTCTAGATGATGAACCAAAGCAGGCAATTAAATGACTGTGTGTCTGTGTCAACAGTCCTAAATAAGCCAACTTAAAAACCTACTCTAAATCTGAGATTAAGAGAATGCTCCAGAATCTAGGAAAAATAAAATCTCACCTCCCATTTCAGACAGCCATGCCAAACCCAACAAGAATCTCAGTTTAGCTTTCCTGGAAGGCCATTTCCTACTCAACACAAATACCTCACTGCCCTTCCTTCTTTCTTGACCTCACTGGTCTTAGAAATGTATGGTAATTTAACCTCTAGCATTTTTTTTTTAATTAAGATCTCAGGGGTGGGGGAAGAATTTGCTTAAAATTATTAAAGACCAGTCTAGTCACAACTGAGAAGAATAACACTTTCCTTATCGCTAGAAATTTCCATGGTAAATCAATACTACAGTCTCCTCCCTGGGGAAGAGGAGGAAGACAATACTGTATCTTGAATGCAGGCGGAGGGACAGATGTCAGGAGCAGTCAAGACAATCTGGAAAGAAGAACTAAAGGATAGGTAACAACGTGATCAGTGGTCAAATCAGAGGAGTTGGGAGGTATCCGGTTTGGAAGAAATGCCAAGTGTTTCACGACTCCAACAGGAAAAGAACCAGAGAAAAAGACTCGAAGGATTGTCCCATTACCAAAGCAGGGAGGAAAGTTAAGATGGCTGACAACTGCTAATTAGACAGAGGGAAAGTTTCACTAAAGTTTAAGACTGGGGTGAAAGGAAATGAGAGAATAAAGATGACATTCATTGTGGATGAATGTAAGGGGGGGTCTATGGGAGAGGGGGGCAGGTAAACAAAGGAAGGAGTTTTAGATTGGCAGGATTGGGGGTTGAACGGCAGCAATGCAGAGAAAGACCCAGGGTTACAGTACACGTAACATCAAATACAGTGCACAGTGCAGCTGTCTTGCCAAAGTAAGTCAATCCAGTATTGGGCTGTGCAAGCAGAGGAATCACATGTAAGCTATGAAGGTGGCTCTTCCTTTCTACTCAGCACCGGTGAGGCCACAGCTGGAGCACAGCGTTCAGTTCTGGGCATCGAACCAGCTACAAGAGAGGGAAATTGCAGAGTTCAGAAAAGGGCAAATAAAATAATGAAAGGCTTGGAAAATAAGATCTACAAGTAGGGCCAGTGGTCTCATCAAAGCCCTTCCTGACATTACGTGAGCTACTTTGGGGGTAAAAAAAATAAGGTGTCTTTCGCTCCCATGTCCTCCAGTCCCTCCTTTGACTTTCGGGAAGCAGGAGTTGAATTCCTTCCAGGAAGCAAACTCAATGAATCATATGGGCATATGCCCACCAGTTCTGCTACTGGCTCAATCATTTTCTCAAAATTTGCCCCATTTCATACCATCATAAAATAAGCACATGACAAAACCACCGTTCTAACTGAACTGACTACAGGTGGTACAGGGTCTATGATAAGGAGGAACGGAAATAAGGCATAATAGCTACATAAATGTGTTGTTTGGGAAACACTGGCGTGATCAATCTAAGACGTCAGATGAAAAACAAAGTCAAACTGCAAGGCAGGACAGCTTAGTCATAAAAGCAGGAAACAATGTTGTACGAAAAAACAAGCGGTGAAACAGATTTTCAAACGTAGTTGTCAGACTGGCCGTAATTAGAAATGGATTACATAGTTGATCTTAACCCTCTGGCAACTCAATATGATAAATTTGAGATATTTTTTTAAACCTAAATGATTCCATACAGAATATACTTATTTGCAGTCAGAGTCTTAAAAAATCACATGTTCTAGTCCACAAGCCATAGGGGAAATTATCCTGGGGGCAAATCTCCAATGACTAATTGTTTATGAAAGTGTTAAAAACAATACCTCAGCCTAAGCAGATGTGTATTTTGAAGCAAAAAAGGTCCTTGTGAAATACATCTATCTTCCTTTAAAGTTACTGCTGTAGGGCATCTGAGTGGCTCAGTGGGTTAAGCGTCTGGCCTTCGGCTCAGGTCATGATCTCAGGGTCCTGGGATTGAGCCCAGCATCAGGCTCCCTGCTCAGTGGGGAGTCTGCTTCTCCCTCTGCCCCTCCCCCCTGCTTGTGCGCTGTCTCTCAAATAAATAAATAAAATCTTAAAAAAAGTTATTGCTTTATTGTAACTGTTAAAACAAGTTGCTCTTAGTTAATGAGGCGACAACAACAAAAAACCCACTGAGTTTCTTTCAGTATCTTTTAGAGATTCAAAATTTCTTTAATTAGTTTTAGTTTCTTACTGTGAGCACAAAAGGTGGAAAATAAAAAAACCTGAAACAGGGGGCATAAGCAAATAAACCCATTTCTGCACACAGTAAGAGGGATGTTATGAGTACAGCATATAACTAATGATTAGGAAGTCACTCAAGACAAAAACCATCTGGGGCCCGCAGAAGTTTTATAGGTTTTCCATCAAATCTGGCAAGTGGATTTGCCAATCACCTAAATCCCTAAAAACCAACCAACCCTAAACCCCAACAAATCAAAACCAAGACCAAAAATACTTGTTTCACACTCCCCCACTTCTTAGCGCTACAGAGGAGGTTTTGGCAAGTGAAAGATTTTTTTATTCTTAAATTTTCCTTTTCCTCTCCAGAACAGAGGCTCTTAAACTTTTTTGGGTCAAGGATCCCCTCCCCAGAAAAGTGCATATATGAAACCGTTCCATACAATTTCAAGGGGAACATGGATTCTCTGAAGAGCCCATACAAGACCCCTGGGTTAAAAAGCTGCTCTCTACCATGGTGTGGTTTCTTCCATAAAAGAACAGAACGGGTATCCGTCAGAAGCCCTAAAACAAGGTAGACTTAAATTGTGTATTAGGTTTTACAAGAAAGTCTAAAGATTGGGACAACCAGTTTAAGTACAATTTAACCAGTTTGCTCCGTATCCTGCTCATTTAGATAAAGCAGCATTAATATTTCCTCTAAGAGGTAAATTAGCCAAATTCCCCTGCTTTTGGAAAGAAACAATTCCTAGCAGTAAAAACATACAAGGATAGCAATTTACTTACTCATCACAGAAATACAGCACTTTTTTCCCCCACCTCCTAGGGAAGAGATCTTTTTCTGAAGTGACAATTAAGCAATATTAAATGATTCACAAATTATGCTGGTTATCTGTTCCAATTGAATCACATAATACGTGATTATTCATTATCTGATTCACTTACCAATACAGATGCTAGATAAATTACCTAAGGTGACAACTTACAAAAGGGACATTCACACATCTAGAAACAAGTATAAGAAAGGAAGTCTTGACTACTTTCCTTAGTAGTCACAATGGCTAAGCTTTAGCATCCTCCCATTTTAATACTGCCTAAAGACCAAAGGGTCTCAAAGAGATAGGCAGTGTCTACACTAGTTAGTCCTTACCCAACGGGACTAAGGGACTAAGTCTGATCTATTATTCTGCTGAAATCGTTCATATCATGGTGAGCAGTGTCTTAATTACTAAGAAACTTTGTCCTCAACTCTTTTGAGCACTTGACACTATTCATCACCTGTCTATATCACTATCCCTGCCAGATAATCTCTTTTGTAAGACTTCCTATAATAAACTGATTGGCAGCGGGTGGGTGGAGCTGCCCAAGGCTCAAAAGCTCAAAGAGCAAACCAGGTTCCAGCTTCCAAAATATTATGGATGTTTTGAATGGAAAAGAACCTCAGAGATCATGTAGTCCACCTTCCTCACTTAACAAATGAGGAGACAAGGACCCAAGACAAAAAAGTATCCCTTTGAAAGGGATTTGGCAAGAAAAAAAAGAAAGAAAAGAAAAGGTACCAAATGCCACTCACATGTGAATGTTCCCTAAGAGAACTATTCCTTAGATCATGAACTCTGGGAGGTAGGAATTATGTCTGCCGAGTTCATGGTTTCCCTGAGCCCAGAATAGTGCCTATAACATAAGGGTTCAATATATATTTATTAAGTAAATGAATTAAGGTGATTTTAACATTGTAAATCACTCGCAAGAAGATTTTTTTTCTTAGCAGAGAAAATTAGGAAATTCACTGTATAACCACAGTGGTGTATTATATTTATAGAATCAATAAATCCAAGGTAAGTAAGGCTCCTACTTGAAAAAAGCAGGAGCAGAAAAGGGTCTGAAACATAGATACAGCTGTAATTAGCAAAGCAAATTCCCTTTGTAACCAAGGGAATAGGTGCAGAGGGCAAGGGCTATTTTAAAAAATATCTACCATTCTCGTTGTTATACTTTTCTTTGGGTGGGGGAGGGGTCACCCGCCAAATAGAGCTCTGTTGCTCTGTCCAAATTTGATTATTTCTTATGCCTTACAAATTAAATAAAATATTCAACGATATAAAGTAGAGTAGAAAAGGAAAAAAAGATTCAATTGTTTCCTGGATTCTGATAGGGCCAAACAGGAGAATGACCACCAGAAACCAAGAGATCTTACCTCTCTGGAGCCCCAGTCTCTGTGGGGAACTGTCCAGGATTGCATTTTTTCAGCTTGCACCGCATTCCAAATCTGGCTACGAACGACTCACTTTTGTGTCTATAACTGGTCAGTACTGTCTTCGTGAGGGAGATTCTTGCGTGGAACAAATAATTCAGGAGATTTTGATCCTCAGGGAGCATCAGCTCCTCTAAGTTTTCTAGGTTCCTCCATGCTAGCAGGTGAGGGTCTTGTCCATTCAGATTATGAAGAAAAGCCCTCAAGGAGGACCATACCAATTGTCGAAAACAAATATTTTCCATTGCCCAAGGAACTATATTCATAGTACCACAAATTTTTAACCCTATGCTGTAGGTCAATCATATGGGTGCTCATACAATATCTCCTATTGGTGGCAACACAGTACAAGCATTACCTAGTAAGTGTAGTCATGCTTAAGGGCTTCTTTGGGTTATGAGAATCCTAGGCATGAAATCCTCAAGTGCTGCTCTATTTAGAACAAGACAGGTCAAAAAAATTAGGGCTTACTTAACTACTTAACTATTTCAGACATAAGCAGCAACAGATAGTTATAGTCATCAAAGACAGTCCTATACCACTCTGTCTAGAACTTCCTCCCCATCTAAATGGGGGGAAAGATCAGTTGTTTGGTAAAGAATTAACCTGGATTAGGTTATTTTCACCTGACCTCCTCCATCACTTCTGAAGTTGCTGTATTAGCATCTCTTTTTCTCAGTGCTTCACACCCTGGGGCACCACCTCAAAGTGGTATTTAAATGATATTTAAAATATTAACTTTTATTAATATGTGAGAACTAAAAAAAACATATTCAAGAGAGTTATCTAAAATATTTCTAGAATGGCAGGGGAGAATCATTCATCCGTAAAGGCCTCTCACACAAACATCCTGCACTGCACACTAATTGGTCCATAATTAAGAACTACACACACGTACACATACATGCACACACATTACAAAAACACCTCACACAGCTTTATCATTACAACGTTGTACTGCTTCCCAAACACAGGGTACTTTCTGCTAGTAACGAGACCAATGTTTAAAAGGAAAATGGTGCAGAGTAGTTCCCCCGCGCCCCCCCCACCAAAACAGTAAGCCACCTTATACCTTTCATGTGAATCGTGAAAGTTTTGTAGTTATTTTCTTACTAAAAACTACCATCTATTATACAAAGATTATCTATAATACAAATTCTTTCCCTTAGTAAATTTTGCATATTTGGTTGTGACATTCAGTCAAAATCATCTAAAAAGTAAGGTTATTAGAAATCCTCCATCATGGTATCTGGGTACAAGCATTAGTCTTGACTGAATCTGGGACAAGATTCAGACAATTGTTTTAAAAAGGGTAAATACTGAATTAAAGTTGACCCTTGAGCAACATGGATTTGAACTACAAGGGTCCACTTACACGTTAATTTTTTTTTGATAAATATATTACTGTAAAGGTATTTTCTCTTTCTTATGATTGTGTTAATATTTTTCTCTAGCTTATTTTATTGTAAGAATACAGTAAGAATATTGTAAGAATACAATACATAATACATATAACATACAAAATATGTCAATCGACTGCTCATATTATCAGCAAGTCTTCTGGTCAACAGGTTATTAGTAGTTAAGTTTTTGGGGAGTCAAAAGTTATAACCAGACTTTTGACTGCACAGGGGGTTGGTGTCCCTAACCCCCATGTTGTTCAAGGGTCAACTGTACTTCAGAAAGTGGTGGGTTTTTTTTTTTTTTTTGCATTTCCATGGTGTAAACTACAGATCATAAATGCATGAAAAGAACCCATCTTCATATGCTGGCAAATACCTTTTCTATGAAAGACCTGAAAATAAGCATGTTTTAAGTTTATGCATTTGTCCTTGGGCAACCTGAACTTATTTAGGAAGTTGTTAGAAAGAAATTCAGACAATCATAATCCTTTTTATAGCTCATTTGGTAGCATTTTTATATTTTACTCTTACCTTTATGAGGATTGCTAAAAGCAATAGCCATATGAAAAATGCAGTATACAAAAATCAAACATTTTCCATATGTGGCTAAATGTCCCATGCAATGAAGGCAAAAACCGTAACTACCATTTTTCTCAGTGCCTACTGTACGCCGAGATTTGGGCTAAGCAGTTTATACTTATTATTCCTAATGTTTACTTTAATGCTAAAAGAGAGGGTCCCAGGAAACAATCTTGAGAAGTCAGTGCAGCAGGCTTACTGAGGAGAGCTCTTGAGAACACCCGTGAGAGACTGACCAGAACAGGGTTGGGCAGACAAAGAAGTTGCAACAGAGGCCTCAGCTAACCCAAAGTGAGGTGCGGGAACTGGGATGAACCTTCAGAGTTGTCCTAACTGGGGCAAGGAGGCTGTACCTTGTAGTCCAGCCACTGGATTCAGGCTGCCCCTGGGGAGGGAGCCTAACCTTGGGAGAGACAGCTCCCTTGGGCAAACAGAACTTCCTTCCAGGAAATCACCTGGAAGCCTCGGCCAATCATTGCTCCAGGCAGCCCTGGGACGGGTGGACAGACTAGCTGACTGGTGTCTCACTCCTGGAGGAGGGGTCTGGGTAGTGTAGCACATGTATATGAAAGCTACGCGATACATCCCTACTTAACTGAATAGAGAACTAAGGGAAAGGTAAGAGCTTATCCAACATCACTATCAGAGCCTCTTTAACGTAAATTTAGGTTTCAAAACTAGGACCTGGTATTCCTCTCTTCAGTGGACATTGAAAAGTATAGAAAATCAGTGTATTTACCTTTTTGCCACAGTTGCCAGTAAGTTTATATAGAGCTCATTTTAATATTTAGTGGAAGTAACCATTTTTACCTGGGTTACTCCCTGCACTCTCTGATTTCTTATTTTTGAATTCTATTTTTAGCTTTCTTCATATGCGTCTACACTTTCTTTGGCACATTTACGTTATATATTACAAGCTGCCCAGCTCATCCTCATCATCTCTAAGAAGAGTACCTAAACCATTTACACATTAGGTGAACGATGGCAGGCTTAGGTAAGGGACACTCCATGGCCTCCTTTTGGTAAACCACATCCTTACCTGCTTTTACTGCCAAAAAGTAATTCTACTTTGTAAATTCCTTCTGCAGTTCAAACTTACTTCCTTTAAGAGGAGTTGGTAGTTCAATAAATACCATCATTTATATAAAGATTTGAGTGACTGCGTCTTTGACAACAAAAGCCTTATTTATGTTTCAATACCTGTTGTAAACTCTTCCTTGGGACTTCCAAATCAAATGTTTTTCACTGTGCTTATAATCTTAGGACACCATGAATTTACCTGCAAGAATTTTTAAAACTCGTGTCTTCCTTCTATGTTAAGTAACATGTATGAGCATAATAACATCCATCTGTGTGTTGCTAGGTGTCTTTGCTATTGCATTTGATTGTTTATGATCGACTTGTTGCCAAACACTTCAATTGTCAACATTTTTTAAATGTGGGCTGATGATTCATAAAGGGGTTAATATTAAACAAGTGGCCAAGAGCATGGAGACAGACTGCTCAGTCTAACTTCACCACCAGCTAGCTTTGTGACATTAGATGAAGTAATCTCACTGTGCCTCAATTTCTCCATCTGTTAGGTGGGGCTAGTAACAGTACCACCATCATAGATGTGTTGTGAGTGTTCAATGAAAAAATACAAACACAGCACTTAAAGCAGTGTCTGCCTAATAGCTTGTACTCAATAAATGTTAGCCACTATAACAAAAATGACAGTCACACCACGTGGAGATCACTTGTAAATAAAGGTTAGTTCAAGTAGGAAAAGATAGCCCCCGAGTTATATCAAAAAGCGCATGGTAAGAATAACAAACTGTCGCAGTCAGTATCAGAATCTTGTCTGGAAAGCAAGTAAGTTTCAGCTAAACCGCATCATCCAATGTTAAAGGAATGCCAGCTTGATTTTGATTTTTAGTTTTATTGGTATGTTATGTAGAAGTATTTTAAAGTTATTTTTGTTTGATAACATGTGAGATCTGTGTTATACCTAGATTTAGGTTTGTTACATATTAAGTAACATTGTTGCATAAACATGCTGTAGATTATTCAAGTTTTCAGAAACACCTGGCTATACTAGCATAGTTTAACTTTTTGTTAGTCTTTCCTCTTTATATATAAAAGCCAATCATTTAACTATTTTCAAAGGTCTGTAGTTTTGGCAAGAATATGGTGACTAACACTGACATATAAAGAAAAGGGGAGAAAAGGAATCCTAACTACAGGAATAGGCCTTACTCATCGGGCAACCTGCTCACGAGAAGCAGGCAGACAGAACAGCATGAATCAAATAATAAGTATGAATGACCCATATATTTTCTTGGAGTTCAATGGAACAAAAAGCATGTGGATCTCTCATTCTTTTTTGGTGCATGAAAATTTACTGGAATTAAAATCATGGAGCACCTGGGTGGCTTAGTCGGTTAGGCATCCGACCCCTGGATTTGGCGCAGGTCCTGATCTCATGGCTTGTGAGATCGCACCCTGCTTCGGGCTTCAGGCTCTGGGCTCAGTAGGAGTCTGCTTGGATATTCTCGCCCTCTGCCCCTTCCCCCGCTCTCTCTCTCAAATAAATCTTTTTTTTTTAATCAGATTCACCACTTTTTGAAAAATAACATTTCATAGGTATGTAATTATGCTACCATGAAGTATTTCCACTGATTTTTCTTAATTTTGTAATGTGGTTTATATTACTTAAGGCAAAATATTCTTTTATACTATTCAAAAACAAGCACAACTCTGATCCCTCAAAGTCCAACTATTAACCATGTCTCCTAATTTGCAAAAGAGAGAAGGGACATTACCTGGTTATGCAGGAGACTGAACAGGGGTGCTCATTACCTAATGACTGAATGAATATGAACAATGTTGTACTTCGCTGCTTCATGGGGCAAACCTCAGTGACAACTGGACATATCACAATAAAAAGGTCTAATATAAAATCATGTAACTCGTTCTTAATAAAGAAAAGGCAAACTGAACCTTTATGACTAACATACAATGAAAGATAAGAGCTCAAACATCCAAGGTGCCTGGCTGGCTCAGTCGGCAGAGCATGCGACTCCAGATCTCAGTGAGTTCAAGCCCCATGTTGGGCATGGAGCCTACTTAAAAAAAAGAAAAAAAGGAGCTCAAACATTATAAGGTCAATAAGGCTGATATCTAGTTATATCATATTTGAGTGGTCTTCTTTCTATTGTGCTAATTGTTTTGAATTGCATTATTTTTAAATATCACATTGGTTTCTACCAGAATGTAAGCTCTTTGAAGGCAGGGCTTTCCTTCGATTTTGTTTGCTGATATATTTCCAGCACCTAAATCAATGCCTGGCATGCAGAAGCAGCTCAGATTTTTTGCTAAATGAATGAATGAATGAATGAATGAATGAATAAAAATTCCTTAAGATTTTATATGGCAAGTGAGAAATCAAATACGGGCGCCTGGGTGGCTCAGTCGTTAGGCGGCTGCCTTCTGCTCAGGTCATGATCCCAGGGTCCTGGGATCGAGCCCCGTATCCGGCCCCCTGCTGTGTGGGAAGCCTGCTTCTCCCTCTCCCACTCCCCCTGCTTGTGTTCCCTCTCTCGCTGTGTCTCTCTCTGTCAAATAAATAAATAAAAATCTTTATTTAAAAAAAGAGAGAGAAATCAAATATAAGGTTGAGGTTCTTTTTGACCTATCACATCTTCTTTCTAAATCATAAACCAGCTCCTTCCATTTAGAGAAAGTATCTGTAAATTTAAAATAATAATAATAAAAGCAGTTTTTGATAGATATGAACTTTATTCTGGTTTTATTAATATCAATTACAAACATAATTGACTTATTCGAATAAATGAAGAAATCTGAAGGTAGATATTAGAGAAACAATATTGTGAGTTTCAAAAATTCAGGCTATTACAACAAGATATGTCTTACACAGGCTGAGAAAATGCAACTAGGAAACATATCTAAGTAAATAACTTCCATTCTGTTGTATCAATTTGTATTGAATGACGTATTACTTGGTAGCTCAAAATATGTAATTTATGACTACAGCCAAGAACACATATATAAAAATAAAATAATGGCTGCTATTCCTAAAATGTCTGAGAATAAACACAGGTTTGTATTTTACTAAGGAAGAACAATACATCCCACTAAGTGACAAGATAACACTTGCTTGATTAGTGCCAAGAAAAAAAAAGTATTTCCATTGGCTCTCAAGGACTCTCTCAGCTACAAAAGGTAAGAATTAAAACAGATTTAAATACATGCCTTTTTCCAATACGCATTTTCCAGTGATTTAGAACAGTAGGGGGGAAGACTCCGCATAGATTACAAACTCCAGATAATTTGTAACATATGCATACGAGGCACAGATTCGTTAAGCATTCGTTCTGAACAATGAATGAAGTTTCTGCTACGGTCAATAGCAGGCAGACGACCCCACTGCATGAACCCCACAAGAGAAATAAGATTAAGAAGTACCTGATAATCACAGCAATCCTAACAATCAACTGTTTAAAATCTAAAGCTTTGTGGTACTGGTCCTTGTTTTTGAAACTCAAGACATTTTTCCTCCCATTTTTAAACTTTTTAAAAATATTACAAAGATAGAACCTTTGAAAAGGGAAAAAACCCCGCTCTTCTACCTAATATGAGCATACTTGAGAGGGCCTGTATGACAATTAACATCTGAAATTGGAGATGTGACTTGTAGTTTTTGCCCTCTGGTAATGTTAGAAAAAAGAGAAGGCGGGGGAAGAAGGCAGGATCATCACTTCCGAAGCTCAGGGAGATCAGAATCAAAGAGTCTAGAATATATCCTCGAGGTAACATAGGCAGGGCTGTGCTAAAATGGTGTTTTAGTTGGATCTCATTGGGTTCTAGAACCAACTCTAAAAACTTAGGTTATGAAGCACTGTGGTGATCTCTGAGGACTACAACAAAGAATCCTGTGCAAGCTGGTAGCAGTTCTGTGCAAGTTAAGATCTATCAAACCCTAGAGATGAGAATTTTCAGATTCCCCGAACAGCCTCGCTGATCTGGGGGTATCTGACATCTACTATCTTCTCTGTTTTCATAACCACTGTTTTATTGCACTTCTCGTCAACTTACTGCAAAAAGCCTCTAAACGATCTTGGTGCTTCCGGTCTCACTCTTCCCAACTCGTCCCCACGTCACAGCCAGTCCAAAGCCTAAGGCTAACATGTCCACTCCCCAGCTTACTGCTCTTTGATGATTAGGGTAAAACCAAAACTCCTTAGTACATTATCTCACTTCTTGTTTATGTCTCCAGTCTCATTTCTTGTCACTTCCCACCTCCTTCCACTCTCTTCCCACCAACCCTAGGCTCCAGCTCTCTAGAACCACACAGTACAAAACATTTCACCAGAATATCTGGGACGTGACCTATTCCAAATTATGATGTTTCTGAAGTTCTGATACCTTAAATCTAAAAGAGCACAATGACTGAAAATACCTTGATCTCACCTCAGTATCTTCTAATCTTCTCTTATCTAACTGCAAGTTATGGCCCATTAGTGGGTTGGGTTGGGAAATCAATTTTAGTAGGTTGTGACCACCCTTCTAAACGCCCCAAGTGGAAGATGAAGAGACAGAGCACAGGGGATCAAGAACTGCTGTGGGGAGGAGGACCCAGGGGCAGTGAGAGGGAGCCTAGGGAGACAGGGGGTGAACAGGGAGCTGGGACAGGTTAGAGGGGTGAGTACAGAGGAGGAAGGCTTGAAGACTGTCAGTCTTGTGTGTGTGCGGGGGGGATTAGCCGAGCCTGTGGGCACAGGGCACACATGTAATAACGGGGAGGCATTGTGTCCCACACCAGGTATTGGCAAACCGGGGGTCTCCCTGGTCTACTCCATGCCCTCCCAGAATGTGTCCCTGCGGCTGCAGGGCCTCCAGGAAAAAGACTCTGGGTCCTACCGCTGCTCTGTGAATGTGCAAGACCACCAAGGCATCAAAAGGAGCCACAGCAGCAAAACTCTAGAGCTCAGGGTGCTGGGTAAGTGAGAAGCGCACACTTGGCAACACCTTCCCCAGCCCCAGTGGAGGCCAGGCAGCTCTCTCTCCCAAATGGCTGACTGTAAGGGTTGGAGGAGGGCAGACAGAGTGACAGAAGGGGGGTGTGTGTTTGGGGGTGGGTGGGAGGGATCTGTTGGTCCCTTGGGGTTGAGTTTTTAACCTGTCTCCCTGCTCCAGTTCCTCCAGCTTCTCCAACCTGCCGTCTCCTGGGTGTGCCTCGTGTGGGGACCAACGTGACCCTGAGCTGCCAGTCCCTAAGGAGTAAGCCAGCTGCCCAGTACCAGTGGGAGCGGGCACCCCCATCCGCCCAGGTTTTCTTTGCACCAGTTTTAGGTGAGGGAGCTTGAGGCTGTGGCTGGGGGAGGGAAAGATGAGAGGCACCAGAGGGACTGGGGTGAAAAGGGGAGGCAATGCTGCAAAGTCCTGGGGCAGAGTTGGCAGAGGAGGAGGATGTAGGGAGGGGACTGGAGAAAGAGAGCCTACCAGACAGGCAATGTGTTGGGTGCTTTCAGATACTGTATACTTATGACACTCAAGAGGACATGTGGCCTACTAGATTACCTGTGCTCACATCTAACAGAACATGCTGGAGTGTACTGCACATAGTTAAGGAGAATATCATTTTGTGGATTAAGCAAATGAATATTTGTGAAACACTTCCAACAGTGCGTGGCACGTGACAAATGTTATGTAAGTCTTAGCTATAATCATAATTTTGTGAAAAGTGTTTCAGTCACACATATATATCATCAGAATATTAGGCCACAGGGTAAAATATATGTCTTCCTATTCTATGTTCAAAAGATGCACTGCTTTGGTTTTTCTTTCCAGTATATAAGAATGAGATATATAATAGATATTTGCACAACTACAATCCAACACTATAAAAAGGTTATTTATCAAAACATAGGGATGCCTGAGTGGCTCAGTCGTTATGCATCTGCCTTCGGCTCAGGTCATAATCCCAGGGTCCTGGGATCAAGCCCTGCAGCGGGCTCCCTGCTCAACGGGAAGCCTGCTTCTCCCTCTCCCATTCTCCCTGTTTATGTTCCCTCTCTCGCTGTCTCTGTCAAATAAATTAAAAAACAAACACACACATAAAATTGTCTAGAATTGGCATGCGCACTCTACTGTTATTCCAAAACTACCTGCTCCACCTTTTTCTTGGTTCTTAAGGACACCACCAACTAGTCATTTGTAGATTCTAAGTCCTACCTTCACCAAATGCCATGCACTATAACAAATTGTTCTTCAATTGAAATGCATGACTTTGTAAGCAACTTATCACTTATAAATTTTCTGGAACACTACAGCATTTAGATGTTTCCAGTTTAGGATTCTTGAACAAAATATATTTTGCTGTATTTGCGGTTTGCACTGTTCTAGGCTCTGCGGTTTCTGGCCTTTACCCCAACCGCTCATCTCTCTCTACTTTCCTCTGCTCAGTTTGGTCCCACTTCACCTTCAAGACCCACCTCCTGAAAGTCTACGATGACATGCCTTTCCTGTGTGTGCCCGAAGCACCATGAACTTAATGTCGACATGCTACACAGACCTTACTCACAATACCGTTAACTGGTGCTTTAGTAGTCTGACTCCTTCAATGGAAGGTGGACACTTGATGGTAGATGGTACCCTGCTGCATGTCTAAGGTCTACCATGCAAGGTACTCAAATATTTGTGGGTGAATAATAAAAAAAAAATCAAGTGCCTATTTCATACTTTAGTATTTGGAGAAACCCTGTGATCAATCTGTGAGTTGAGTCTGATGAAACGGAATGGGCAAGATCTCCAAATCTTCCCACAGATTCTTGCACTTTAGCCAAGAGTTAAGCTCCACACGTTTCTCCCGTTTTCCTAAGGGCAGTGGAATCCAAGGGCCCAGCCCCACTATATCTGCCAAGAAAGATAGCAGAAAGAGGCTCAGAGTTCTAACGCAGTGGCCTCCCGCTGGGGTATCCCTACTCTTTCTTTAATGATTAATCAAGGCACCTTAAAACCTTAGGGATTCCTGGCAGCATTCCCAGTCTGGTCCATTATTTCTTAGGTGGAAAGCTTGGCCCCTTAATTTAGAACAACCAAAGCAAAATAGGCTAGTGATATTGTTTCTTTTAAATGTAAGTGGAATATTGTCTGATGACCAACATTTTCAAGATGCATTTGATAAAATCTACAGAAATGAATTTTGTGTGGATTTTTCTGATTCAGAGTACATTACTGAGTAAATTTACGGTCAATCCTCACATCTGATTCATCTCATACTAGATTTACTATTTCCTATATCCTATTAACTTCCCGTAAACTTTCATGTATGATGAAAAAAATTTCAATGTCAGCTTTAAAATGTTCGAGAGAGTACAGAAACTCTTTTGGGAGTACATAAACAGAAAAGTTTAAATACCATTATTCCAAAGCTGTTCTGGCCAATACAACAGCCACTGGCTAGATATACATGACTCTTTAAATTAATTAAAATTAAATAAAATTAAAAACTCAATTTCACAGTCCCACTAGCCACATGTCAAGTATTCTATAAGCAGCTATGGCCAGTGGCTACTGCACGGTGACTGACGGACAGCGCAGACAGTAAGACACTTGTTATCACAGAAAGTTCTATCAGACGGCACCCCCTAGAGAGCTAAGAGCAGGACACCCTTAGCCCCAGCCCACTGAGGTTGTGACACTGCAGTCCTTGCACTAAAAGCTCTTCCTCCCTAGTACAGTGGACCATTTTTCTTCACTTCTATCAAGGTTCCTCCTCCTCAGAAGCAAAGTGACGGCAGGTGGAGGGGGGGGGGGGCGGGCGCCAAGAGAAAGGAACTTTGAGCTTCCCGTAAAAGTCTGAGTACGTAGCTAAGAGAACCGTTTCATAAAACAGACTTCTTTAGTACTCCAAATAACAACTTTTTACCTACACTGTTCAATATGGTAGCCACTAACCACATGTGGCATTTATAGTTTAAAATTAAAAAAATTAAAGGGGCGCCTGGGTGGCTCAGGCAGTTAGGCATCTGACTCTCGACTCCGGCTCAGGTCACGATCTCAGCGTGTGAGATCGAGCCCCGTGTCGAGCTCCGTGCTCAGCGTGGAGCCTGCTTGTCCCCCTCCCTCTGTTCCTCCCCGTTCACTCTATCTCTAAAATAAAAAAAATATTTTTACAAAATTAAATTAATTAAAACAAAACATAATTTGAAATTCAGTTCCTCAGGCACACTCACCACATTCCAAAGTCTCAACAGCCACAAGTGACCGGCGGCTATCACACGGAACTGCGCTAGATACAGAACATTTCCATCATCACAGAAAGTTTTACTAAACAGCACTGTTTGTACTATGTGCTTTCTAAGTTCCTTTTTCCTTTAACATATCCTCTTAATGAAGGATCCATAATAATTTCACTCCACTCTTCACTAGATTTCCCAAAATGCCAAGAAATAAACTTGGAAGCCTGTTCATCCAAAGTTTTAACATGTGCGTGTTAGACCTTTATACCTCCTAAACTGAGAGACCAAAAGTGTATGGTCAGTAGTCTAAGATGGTCTATTCTCTTAAGATACACATCAAGCCTGTATCAGATTCACAAGCAGACAAGCATTCTGGAACACACAAGCTTCTGGGTGACAGTGGCATGTTCCCAAGAGAAATATGTCAAAAATGGAAGCAAACAAATCTGACTAAATCCTTCTTACAAACTATTTGAGTGGTATACCGTATTTCTTGGAAATCTTTCAATGACAGTACAGAGGGACCGTCTTGGCTGCAAACCCCAGAGGAAAGTCCTCAGAAATTGGTGAAGTCTATTAAAATGCTTATACAGGGACAAAGATATCTTCTGGCTCCATGTCATCTTTACCCTAATGGTTTCTGCAAACAAATAATGACAAGGCTTGGGAGCTAAAATGAAAGACCAAATGTACTACATGCCATTTGTCTGTTAAAGTACGAAATTTGTCCTGAAGACTATGACAATGATCGATGAATAAATCTAAGAAATCTCCCTAAAAAACTGATCATTTTGTTTGCCAGGCAGAAGACTCCCAACCAGTTTTAAATTTGTCTGATGAGCAACCCGTACTGATCCAGCAAAGACAAGCTTTTTAGGTCATACAATCACCTTGCTTTTCATCTCGAGGCAGAGCTAGAAGTACACATCTGTTTCAAAAACATAAAGCCAACTCTCAAGAGGCAAATTTTTGGAGAACACCCAAAAATATGGGACTTGAGAATTAGTTTTGCAGCGCATCAGATTAACTGACTGAAGTGTGAATACAGCATCTGGCTCCGAAGTGAATGCTTTCATGAATGCCAAGTCTAGATAGATCTTTCAACTACTACAGTGTGGACTGTGATGAGATCTTTCCCTCCTTTGAAGTCATCACATTTATTGTCTGCTTTAGTCATATGACACTTAATCAAATACTGCATCACATACCATCCCTTGTGTTGTAGAGCTTTTTAACTCTTTGATGTGTGTATACAGACTTCAACTGCTCTGTAAGCTCTTGGACTGTATATTACAATTCTTTTATTTATCCTAACATCTAGCATACAGCCCTGCACACAGTAAGCACTCAAGTACTTGGTGGATGGAGATGGGGAGAAAAGGACTATAGAAGAAGAGAAAAATCATGCAATGACCAGACAGAAAACCACCTTATTATGTGTTTATCTGACTCCAAAATTAGGCTGGAATTGTTAGTGGACAAATTTTCTTCTGGCAAACAAACAAACAAACAAAACAACAACAACAACAAAACTTCAGAACCAAACAATCTGTGGAGTAAGGCAGTCTCAAACACATCCATTTCATCCAAATGACTGAACGAATACCACTAACAGGACATGTCAGACTTCAAAATGAAAACCTTTACAGCAATAAACAAATGTTTCTACGTGACTTTAAGCTAAAATCCTGTGCACTTAGAAATATACATATTCAGTTGGATAGTATTCAAAAATAGTACTCTGGTAGCAAAATCCAAGAGTTATTAATTTCAAAATTTACAATTTTAATAGACAAGAAATCTAAAACACAGTCCAGAAAAGGGAGGCGATGTGCTTTCCGTTTATTCAGGAAGATGGCCAGGGAAGAGGCTGGGCTAGCACTCAGCTTTCTGATGCCTTCTTAGGATGAGATGGAAGGCTGCTACATCAACATGCTGAAACTAGGAAAGTTTCATGGAAAAACCGAAGTTACTGTATATCTCTTCCCTCCTTTCAAACTTAGAAGACATTATTTACGGAGTTTTCATAATTGAGTTTTAATAAATATTCCAAATACATTCAGCCAGAAATTTAATTAACACACATGATGTTCCTTCCCTGTGAGCCTCTGACATGAGTTCACATTTAAGTGAGCACATTAGTCTAAGAAGTTCCCCATGGTCCATTTCTTCCTGCCCTACTTCTTTTCTATTTTATAAAATCTAAAGCAAAAAAGATTGTTGAATTTCTTTTGGCAGTTCTCATCAAGACAATAAAGTAAAAGAAGAGATTTCTGAATTATTCATTCTAAACACGCATTTCTGAAAGTGGGATCTAAAGATTTGTTTTCAGGGATTTGAGATTCTCTGACGATATTTTTAAGGTTGTGTTTTTATTTTCATAAATATATTCTGGATTACTTGGACATCCACCTCATAACTGTGTAAGGTTATGATTTCAGTGACAACATTTGCTTCTATGCTTAAGATTACATTCATAGTAAGTCTTCTGGAGGGACAGAGCTTAGTTTTCAATGCAAAATTTTTCAAACGGGGTTTCAAAGTCTATGTCTTTGGATTAAAGTTTAGGTAACACTGATCTAGATTTCTATACGTCCCAAAATTCTCCTTCTAGACTTTACTTGGTAAGTTTAATAAATATGTATCCAGTGTCTATAATGTGCTAGGCACTGGAGATACAGTAGTGAATAAGAGAAACCAGAACTTGCCTTAATGGAGCCTGTAATTCTGGCAGGAAAGGCCAACATTCTTAATGAAGAAATCTGGTTCCTTGGTTGAAATCACTTAACAAGTAGAGAAAAAACACACACACAGTTATCTGTCCTCCTTGTCAACTACAACTGTTGATTAGAGAATCCATTATCATCAACATATTTTCAAAATATTCTAAGAGCTTGAGGTCAATTTGGTCTTATCTGTTTGAAAACAGGTAAACTGATCCTCTTTTAAAAATTCTTCAGAGAAGCTCAATCTCCTTTCCTTGCTTTAGGTTATGCTTCTCATAACCAGACAAAGATGTAACCCAAACTAGATATTTCCTGGTTATTGAGAAACAATTTTATGGAGAGGTTTTAGTCAGTGAGGTTTTGATAGCACAACACTTTTTCCGTTTGATTGGGAAATTTCTACGGACAAAAATCAATCAAACTAGAACAGTTGCAAATGCCTAAGTACACTTCTAAGTCAAGAAAAGTTGATGGGTGGATGCTAACCAGCACAGCGCAAAAACTCTCTCAGAAATTTAAACTTGATGACCTTGAAATTGAATTTGTACCTCTATTCTTTAACAGAAAAATGAATGAGATTCAGGAAACAGTGGCTACTATTAGGTACTACTTTAGTCCTGTCTATAAACAATTATTTTAATGACCCCTTGTTAGGCTGGGGGGGGGGCGGGGGAAGAGGGGGCATAAGAAGACCTAAAGGTACATGTTATCAAGTACACCAATTCAATTTTGTAATTGAGAAATGGGTGCCAAATTCCTTGAACGATAGTTAATAAGTTTGAAACATCTCAGTTTCTGACCCAAATTTTCTAACCAGCATTGCCCCAGGATGAACACTACATGAGCCAAGATCTCCCCAACTTTGGAGCAATCTCTGACTTTAGTGTGATTGCGATTGTTTTCATGGGTTTTTACCCCCAAAGAGCTCTGGAAAAAGTGTCAACCCTATCAGAAAAGAAGTACACACATAACTATGACTTTTACCAAGAAGTAGTTCATTGAAAACTGGGAGAAAGAATCCTAACAGAATCTTTTAGCAGACACTATGATGAGGGAACTAGCTTACAACTCTCTAGCTGCCAATAATACAAACCTGAAAGCCTAGATTAAAAGTCAATAGAAACAGCAAAAAGATAACCTGGCTGGTGATAAAAATTTCTAGCCCAAATTAAGCCTCTGTAGTTAAACATTCAGATACACAACGATAGCCAGATGCACACTGAGAGCTTTACTTGTCACCACATCCGGCACAATAGCTAATTAAGCAGGGAAAAACTGGCTTTCATGAAGGAGCTTAGTCAGAAACATAGCAGGGCCTCAAGCCAATCTAACTCTAGAGGCATCGACACTCCACAAATTCCACACCAACTCTCAGCCAGGCTAACTTTAATTGCGCCCCTAACTCCACGATAACAATACACTAGCTGACTGCAATCAAGCTTTTCCGATTCTCCAAAGCCATCTCAAGTCTTACTCGTCCTTCGAAGCTCAAGTTAGAAGCAAGGCGACTGACACAAAGGCCAGTCGTCCAAAGGCGCTTTTTGCATGGCTCTGCACTGCCACTCACTTGAAAATTCCTAAACTGGGGGCTCACCGGCCCCCCTCTTCTACCCTTCCTCAAACCCGCCCCGGCTGGTAAGCCTCTGCCTGGGAGCCCCTCAGCCTGGAACAAAGCGAGGGGCCCTGGCGGTGGGGGCGAGAGGCGCCAGCGGACACGGGGAATGCCGCACAGCGCACAATGAGAACTACCAACTTCAGAGCGCAGGAACATCCTCAATTGGCAAGAAAGAGGGGCGGCGGCGGCAGGCACGCCCAACTTCAAACTCAGGAAACCTACGGGCTGGCGGCCATCTGGAAAAAAGCCCCCTTCCCAGGGAGAGAAGAAAAAGGCGGAGGAGATGCGAATCACCCACCGGGCCCCGGAGGGGAGCCCTGCGCTCAGACCGGCCCCCGCCCCCGAGGCCCGCTTCCCCGCCTTCTCTCTGCCTCTGGTTCGCTGCCCCAGGCCGGGCGGCCGGTTACCTTGATGCGCTCCCGGCACTGGGACGGGGTCCGCTCGTAGCCCAGCTCGGCCAGGGCCCGGGACACGCGCTCGTACATGGCTGGCCCAGGGGCCTTGCTGCCGAACACCGTGCCGGCTCCCTCCAGCTGCTGGTACCGCGCTTCCACCAGCCGCTCGTTGCCCCACACTGCGATGAGCGCGTTCGTCTCGGCCGGCGTCCACGACATGCCCCGGCAGGCGGCGGCGGCGGCTGCCGCAGCCCCGCCACCGCCGCCACCAGGGGAGAAGGAGACCGAGGACGAGGCGGCGCTGCGGCCCCCCAGCCCCAGCCCGAGACCCCCGGACGCCGCTGCCCCCGAGCCCGCCGCACTGCCCGGCCCGAGCGGAGAGGCACCCCGCGGCGTGGAAGGGTCGGACAGCGATGGATTTCCGTCGCTCAGGCCACCAGGAGAAGCCGGGGAGAGCACCTCCATCTTCGGGATTTTTAGCGGCGAGTTGGCGGGCAGCTCCGAGCCACAGGGCGCAGCCATCTTCCAAGCGGCCGCCGCTACACCGCCCGGAAGTGACGCGCCCGCGCATCCGGCCGCCGCGGTCTCCGGGGCTGCCCTCGGGCCTGGCTCGGCTGTGGGCGGGCGGCTGCGGGCTCCTGCTGCCGAGCGGAGGCTGTCCGCTCCCCCCGGCCTCTCTCCGCGAGCCCTACCGCGCCGCCCGCTCCTCTCCCGGGGCGAGGGGCGGGAGTGAGGCGCGCCGAAGCCGCGAGCTGAAGAGAAGGGTGGGGGCATGAGGGCGCTGGTGTGAGGAACAGATTGGAGCCTTCCCACTTCCTCTCCAATCTCAGCCCCCGGGAGGAGGGGTGAGGCCCGCGAGGGGGCCCGGAGTTAAGGAGGACTTGACCATTTCGCTCGCTGGCTCTCCTCTCTCCCTCCGCTCTGCCTCTCCTCCCTCCAAGCTGGCCTCGGGGTGCAGAGGCTGACGTCCAGGGCGGAGACTGGGGGAACCTGCGGAGAGTATATCCAGGAAGCACCAAGGCTGAAGGGATGCATTTCTGGGGGAGGCTTTAAAAAAGCAGTTTTTGGACCGCGTTAGAGTTGGTACTCGGTGGCTTTTCAAGAAACCCATGCGCATTATTTGAAGAACAGCAACTCTGACTCAGTTAAGATCTATTTTCCAGTTAGCCCGGGTAGCTGTGACGATTTGTAGAAAAATTAGATGTCTTTATCGCGTTTGTAGTTTGTAGCTTAAATATGTTAGGAACCCTGGAGCCCGGCAGGAAAGTTACTTTCCAGTACCATTCCCCATCCTCCTAATTTGGAAGTTGCATCATTTTCTTACTTTCCTACTGTATTTCACACTCTGGAGTGTAAGGAGATTGAAAAGAAGACTGTCAATTAATGGCAACTCTTGTGACCTCTAGTAATTAGTGTATTAACCGTTCCTGAATACTCCTCAAAGTGCTGCAAATCCAGTACATAGCTGAAAGGTATTTTCAATACTCTTCAAAGCCAAAAATCGAATTGTTTATCTTGGATCCTTAAAAAGCCTCAGCGGATCTTTTTTCAAATATGAATAAGCCATCCGATATTTTTTTCAAATATACATTAAGTTGTTTGTTTGTTTGTTTGTTTTAAATAGAGCTGAGGTTACCTACATTTAAACTCCGAATCACTCGAGAGAGAGTGATCCGGTTAGGAAGCCAAAGGTAAAATAAGCAATAGGGATGAAGTAGAGGAGATAACTGTGTATTTCACATTACAATGCCACCATAGTTTTAAATTACCAGTATGAGGTATCATAAAGACGTTCCAGTATTTATGCTACCTTTCCTCTTTTTCTAAGACAAAGATATAGTCAAGCACCATGGTTAAGAGTATGGATTCTAGGGGTGCCCGAATGGCTCAGCCGGTTAAGTGGCTGCCTCCCACTCAGGTCATGGCCCCAGAGTCCTGGATGGAGTCCTAGGGTGGCGCCCCACATCCGGCTCCCTGCTCAGCGGGGAGTCTGCTTCTCCTTCTCCCTCTGCCCCTCCCTGCCTCTCATGCTCTCTCTCTCAAATAAATAAATAAAATCTTAAAAAAAAAAAAAGAGTATGGATTCTGGAGTCAATTCCTGGCTTCAAATTCCAGTCCTGCAACCTCAGCCAATTTACTTAAGCAATCTCTTAGTACCTTGGTTTCTTTCTTTATAAAGTGAGGATGACCTCACAGCACTGTTGTGAGTAGATGAGTTAATACAGGTAAAGCCTTAGAATGGTGCCTGGTTCATAGTAAACAGTGTATGAGCTATTACCTCACTTTGGCTAGCAGTAGTCCCCTCTTCTGTGCGGTTTCACTTTCAGGGTTTCAATTACCAATGCCAAAGGCAGTCGGGAAAGCAAATCATCCTCCTGATCTATGGTCAGAAGGTCAATAGTAGCCTAAGGCTGCCTCACCATGCCTCTGTCATTCACCTCCCATCATTTCATCGTGTAGGCAATTTATCATCTCACATCATCGCAAGAAGGGTGAGGACAGTACATTCAGGGAGAGGAACCAGATTCGCATAACTTTTATTACAACACATTGTTATAATTGGTCCATTACTGTCACTAATCTCTAACCATGCCTAATTTATAAATTAAACTTTATCATAGTTATGTATGCATAGGAAAGAGCATAGTACATGTAGAGTTGGGGACTGTGTGCACTTTCAGGCATCCACAGGGGGTCTTGGAACAATCCCCTGTGGATAAGGAGGACTACTGTACTTCAGTTAATAGAGAATCTTCCCTTTGTCGCTTTCTCTCCAACACTAGTTTTCAGTGTCTTCATTGTCAATTCTTTTCAGGGCTCTGGTGGCATCTCAAACACCTGTCAAAGCAAAATTCACTCTCATTCAGCCCAGCAGTAAGTTTTTTAATGTCATAAAGTATTTAATGTGTATGAAAAGGAGAATCATGCCTAGATCAGAGACTCCGAAGAGTTTTAAAATCACTGCTTATCCTGCTCTCATTTTCCCACAAGCCTGAAAAAGATCCTCCCTCCTTCTATTGTTAATTCTGGATGATTCTCAAATCAACTCTGACTCATGCAGGAAGCCTTCCTAGATAAAGTGGGTTGACTGGGAAGTCTCCCTTCCCACAAACTTCTGTTTCTAGACATTATTTCTCTATACCCCCCCTTTATTCCCACACTCATCAGTCTATCCAATGAGAAAAAGTATCAAAAATAAAATTGCCAGTAACATCCTGAGGTTAAAATTAATTCGATAACATAAAAGCTATTAATATGTACTACACAGTGTGGAGGCATTGCTATATAGGCAACCTGGATCATGTGCTTGTCATATTGGCTTACCATGGCTGATCCTGGATTCCAGGTGTTGTGTGATGGGCTCGTTCAAGGCTTCATAGTTCAATCAGAATGTATGGAATGTGTTTGAAGCAATGTACTGTACCTTTTATTGTGGATTCAATTGATAGCATAAGTAGATAAAAACCTATTTGAGAGATAATATATGCAACATCTCAAAATAATGTACAAACGAATACAGAACAATACACGGTAATCGACCTATAAACTGTCAGCTCCTCCCTTTAATTGTATCCCTCCCCTTTTCCACTTCTTCCACAATCTGTGCCCAGGATTTGTTTCTCAGCTTTTCTTTCTTTTTTTTTCATTGATTATCTTCCCCATGCTGTATCTTTTATTCCCATGACTTATTCATCCCATAACTGGAAGCCTGTATCTTCCACTCCCCTTCACCTGTTTTGCCCATTTCCCTACCTCCCTCCCCTCTGGCAACCATCACTTCATTTTCTGTATTTACAAGTCTGTTTCTGCTTTTTGTTTGTTTATTTGCTTTTTTTCTGGATTCTTCATATACATGAAATCATATGCCATTTGTCTTTCTCTGTCTGACTTAATTTCACTTAGCATAATACTGTCTAGGTCCATCCATGTTGTCACAAAGGGCAAGATCTCATCTTTTTTTTTTTTTTTTTGGCTGAGTAATATCCATTGTGTATATATACCACCTCTTCTTTATCCATTCATCTGTCGATGGACACTCAGGTTGCTTCCATATCTTGGCTATTGTAAATAATGTTTCAATAAACATAAGGGTGTATATATCTTTTCAAATTAGTGTTTTCATTTTTCTTTGGGTAAATATCCTATTGTAGAATTACTGGATTATATGGTATTTCTATTTTTAATCTTTTGAGGAAACTCCGTACTGTTTTTCACAGTGGTGGTTGTCCCAATTTATGTTCCACCAATAGTGTCTGAGGGTTCCTTTTTCTCCACATCCTCACCAACATTTATTTCTTGTTTTTCTTATTCTAGCCATTCAGACAGGTGTAAGGTGATATCTCATTGTGGGTTTGATTTCCATTTTCCTGTTGATGGGTGATGTTAAGCATCCTTCTCATGTGTCTGTTGGCCATCTGTATGTCTTCTTTGGAAAAATGTCTGTTGAGGTTCTCTGCCCAATTTAAAAAGTCTATTTAATTTGGGAGAGTGAGTGAGTGCAGGAGCAGGGGCAGGGGCAGAAGGAGAGGGAGAGAGAGAATCCCAAGCAGACTCCCTGCTGAACACAGAGCCCGTAGGAGGGCTCCATCTCACGACCCTGAGGTCATGACCCTGAGATCATGACCTGAGCTGAAATCAGGAGTCAGAGGCTCAACTGACTGAGCCACCCAGGCGCCCCTCCTCTGCCCATTTTTAATGGGGTAATTTGTTTTTGGGGTTTTTTTAGTGTTGAGTTGTATAAATTCTTTATATAGTCTGGATATTAACTCTTTATCAGATATATCATTTGCAAATATCTTCTCCCACTGGTTAGGTTGCCTTTTTATTTTGTTAATGGTTTCCTTCACTGTGCAAAAGCTTTTTATTTTGATGTAGTCCCAGTAGCTTATTTTTGCTTTTGTTTCCCTTGCCTTAAGAGATGTGTCTAGAAAAATGTTGTTATGGTTGATGTCAAAGAGATTACTGCCTGTGTTCTGTACTAGGAGTTTTATGATTTCAGGTCTCACATTTAGGTTCTTCATCCATTTTGAGTTTATTTTTGTGTACTGTGAAAAAAAGTGGTCCAGTTTCCTTCTTTTGCATGTGGCTGCCCAATTTTCCCAGCACCATTTGTTGAAGAGACTGTGCATATCCTTCTGTGTTCAGGGCTTGTATTCCTAACTTTTCTATGAAGCGTCTCCTAACCAGCTGGATCTCCAGTGGGTCTAAGACCCACTCCTACAATCTACTGCTTCACTTTAATGTGTTCTGTTTCCAAAGCTTCGTTAATTCTGTTGTACACTCTCTTGCTGTGTTTTATGACTGTTGGTGTGTTTGTTGCTTCAGCTTTTTTTTTTTCCCTTCACGTTCCACATCAAGTCCTGTTACCTCCACCTCTGAAATATTTCCTAAATCCGACTACTTCTCGACTCTAGTCCAAGACTTCATTGTGTCTTTACTGGACAACTGGACTTCCTACTTGCATACTTTCCTGCTTACACAGTAGCCAAGGTGAATTTGGTTTTTTACAACTTTTTTCTTGTGAAATATAACATGAATATAGAGGAGTACGTGAAACATACATGTACAACTATTATATGGCTTATTAGACAGCAAATACTACATAGCCACCATCCAGGTCAGAGAAATAGAAAAACTCTAGAAGCTCTGCCCCATAATCCTTGCCCAGTGTTAACCCCTATCTCTCTTATAAAGATAACCACTATACTGACTTGTCTTTCTTTATAGTTTTATCACTGTATCATGCATTGCTGAAAGTTTTCCCTGGTTTTGATTTTTTTTGGTAAGTGAAATCACATGTATTCTGTATCTCCTTCTTTCATTCAATATTATGTTTTTAATTAAGATTCATCCATTCCATATGAGGCTACAGTTTATTCATTTTTGTTGCTGTAAAATACTCTTATGACTATGTCACATT